GTCTGGAATGATAAAATTCAGAATTTATTATAATTTTTTCCACCGTTGGATTTTTTGTAGCTAACCTTGCATTAAAATCTAGGTTTGTCTAGCTTAACGCATATATATATATATATATATATATCCGTATTGAATATCTATTCAATATAAATAGCATTTATCTTGTCGTAGTAAACCAAATTGTTGCATAATTGATAATGAATTGTAAATTATACGAAATCGACGAAATATATAATAGCAACAATTGTTTATTGATTTAATAAGTTTGAATAAATATTTAAATTCAAAATTTTTTTTTATTTATATTTTATTTTGTATATCATTAAGTTAATAATTTTAACTTCTTATTAAAAATTTGATGTTTAGAATTATCGTCATTTTTTCTTCGTATTTAATACAAATTTATTAATAAGTCATAAAGATTGGAGCTTTGACTAGCAATGGTTAAATATTAACTCTTGCTTTTCGACTTTTACATTTTTAATATTATAAAATTACAAGTATATTTTAGTGAACAATTATTATGTGCAAAGACTTCATATCACTGTCTCTCGCGTCAGATGGATGCCAGTGATTACGTGGTTTGTACTGATGGAAAGTCGAAATTGTTTTCATCATGGAGGATTATTCCTCGTCATTTTTCGTGAAGTTCATTCGCGAAGTTTAGTTTGATATTTCTTCGGATATTCTTATGCAGGATTGGAATTACTCTCGTGTTTTCTCGTCTGTAGTTATTGGTAGTAACAATTTCATTAATGAGTCAATGATTATTGCTATATATTTTAAAGTTAAGTTGTAACATTAATTCAGCATATATATTTTAGCATACAATTTTCGCTTTCTTTGTTTTATTAAATGTTCTCCATTAAATGTTCTCCACTAGTAATAATAATGTTAACAATAGTACACTGTCTTAATAACAATAGAAATTTATTGTGTTATATGATTGATATGGATATATAATTATTATTTGTTTAAATTCAAATTATTAAATAAACAAATTTAAGTTTTATACAAATAATTTGCTTATAATTTTTCGATGATTGCTCTAACAAAAATATGGTTACGAATGTATATATTTAATTTTCTAACTGTTATTTTACCATTATTTTTAGGTATTGAACATCCCGCCATTGCAGAATATTTTTATTTATGAATTTATATGTATATACATTTTTTTATGATAAAATACATGCAGATATTATGAGATTATGTTGAACGAATATTAATTTTTGTCGATATTTACATAACTTTTTTCAAAATTCTTTATAGTTAACAATATTATCGTGATTATATGAATTTTAAATGTATGGATACAAAAAATTCAAGATGAGTCGAATGGGTACCCTCATATTAGCAGGATATTAATAATTGTAATTTTTGAAAAATAAAAAATTAAATTGTTAAATTTTATATAATAAATTTTTCAGTATAAATGTTCTTTAAAATCCCGTTATTATCGGGTTCGGCTCATCTCGAACAGTTGGTACTCGAGAAACTTTTGTACCCATACATATAAAAAATTACATAAAATACGCATGTATTTTATTATTATTAAATATATTCCTTCGTAACCACTATTGCATAAGGAAATCATTCTATCTGTTTTATTTTTAATAAGAGATGATTTTTAGTTACGTGTGGCAGAACTTTAATATTATATTTTAATATTATATTAAAGATGTGATAAAAATAATTGTAATTGTAATTGACATGCTACCAAAATTATTACTATTGCTACGTAGTCTGAAAGATTCGGGATTCACACCGCAGTCCTGTAACAAAATCACTGGTATTTGACGGATTGCTTAACTTTTCTTTGCAAATGGATCTTGTAAAATTTATGTCAAATCAGAATGCATTAAGTTTGCTTTCTACTATGAAGATTGTTCTTCTTTGTATCGGATACTAATCAGCATACCAGGCGGAGAGATTTTGATATGAAATTATTGAGATAGTTATCTTGAACGTGATGAAAGTGCTGTTATAAATATATTAATGACTTTTATATATTAATGATATATTAATACTATTATTATTAATATTAACTTTTTGTCGCGATATTTATTAAGTTTTATATTCACAAATTATTAGTAAATACTTAATTAATAGTAAATAATTAATATTAAATACAATCTAATTGTTATTAGTATTTCTTCTACGTTTATCAATATTTCATTATTATCGTATGTATTTTCGACGTTTTCGTATAATTTGTTAATTATGTTCCTATTTGTTAATTAGGTTCCTATTATCATTTTTATTATATTTTGAACAGCATTGATAATTGTATATTGTATTGTAAATAATTATTATAATTGTAATATCGAATTGTATAAAGGATAATATAATAAAGAATAATATTTAAAAAATTATTGCAATTTCATTAGCGAAATACAATAAAATAATTAGACATAAAAACAAAAAATAAATTAAACTATACTTATCTCTCAGCAAACGAGAATGAATTAAAATGGATTGAAATTTTTTATTTTTTATCCGAATGCGTATTTTAAATAACGAATACTTTTTTTTAGATTTAATTGAATTCAAATGGATTCAATTAGATTCAATTGGATGCAATTGGAGAAACTTTCCTATTCGAAATTTTGAATAGAACAGTATTCACAATGCACAGAAAAAACTAATATTATTTTTAGATGGAAAGCATAGAGATATGCTCCATGCAATTTCTACAAATGTATAAAAATGCATTCAGGATTGAAAAGCATTCATTTTAACATTCGTGAATCAATATTTCTGAAAATCTGAATCCATTTCAATTTATTTCAATCCATTCTCGTTTGCTGAACTAAAAACGGGCTACTAAATTTATTAGTAACTTGTTTGTTTTATGGATGAATATACTTACAAAGAAAAGAGGACCGCCGATAAAATTGGCGGGGGTAGTGGAGGGCCTTTATAGCTCGTTTTTGTTAAATTCCCAATAAACGAGAACGAGTTGAAATGAACTGAAATGGATTCAGATTTTCAGAAATATTCACGAATGTTAAAATGAATGCTTGTCAATCCTGAATGCATTTTTATTCATTTATAGGAATTGCATGGAGCATATATCTCTATGCCTTTCAATCTAAAAATAATATTAGCTTTTTCTGTGCATAATAACACAATTGTGAATACTGTTCAATTCAAAATTTTGAATAGGAAATGTAGTTTTTCAATCCAATTGCATATAATTGAATATAATTGAATCTAATTAAATCCAAAAAAAAGTATTTGCTATTTAAAATACTCATTCAGATAGAAAAAAATTTCAATTCATTTTAATTCATTTTCGTTTGCTAGGTTATTTGTTTTTTTTTTATTTTTAAAATTATTTTGAAAGAAAATTGAAACGCGGAAGATTTAAATTTTAGTATACATTTATTAAATTTAAATCTTTTGCGGCACGAACTTTCCGGACAACCCAATAGAAAAAAGGACATTAATGTCCGTTTCCACCAATGTAGATTAATCTCGATTTAATTTATTCTTCCTTTTTTTCTAACTCTTTTTAGAACTAGAAAAAGACGAAGAGTAAATTGAACCGACATTAAAATTAATCTACATTGGTGAAAATGGGCATAAGTGAAATAAACATCACGCGCATATAAGATGAAAATTTCTGATCCACAGTTTGTGAATGTAGCACGATTATACGAATTAAATATCGATTTGTCATATGCAGCTTTGAAAAATGGACGTATGTACCTTCAGAAAAGTGGACCTTGCTATGTAGTTTACATCCATTTTGTCAGAGGGCAGTAGTGCGTGGCAGCATTTTGCGGTTATAGGTTTTTGGGCCGTCATGTCTTCTCTCAGATTTCTCTCTGGTAGAAGTCAGTAGAAGTCTATGGTGTGTGTTAAGCATTTATGAAGAATCTTGGATTTATATGTATACCGTTTCCTTGAAATAATGTAAAAATTGAAAAGTTTGTATATTAGATTGCTCGTTATACTCGCTCTACTTGTTATTTATAGTGCAGGTAAGTTACAGCATTTTCGTCGCATTTGGTTCGTTGATGATTTACTATGCCGTCGACATCGCCCAGATTAAAATGCGAGTCAGTATATTGTTCAAAGTTTCGTTGCATTCAATGCAAATTAATTTTTCTTAAACGTTATTTCGGATGATTTGAGCGATCACAATCGAAAGGCATTAATTTTACTTGTAATTGATTGAACGGACAATTTGACCCGAGTTGACGTCATCGCTAAGAAATCAATAACTGCATTGGTCTTTGCAGCAACTCCCTCAACCAATTTTACACCGGTATATTCATCTAAAGCTCGGTTTTTATTATCTGCAGTGATTAATATTTTTAATCATTTTTGCTATGTAACTTCAATCTTGATTTAACTTACTTTTTTCTCTTTTTAGTTCTAAAAATTAGAAAAGAATAAAGAGAGAGATTAAACTGAGATTAAGGTTAATTTATATTGATAGAAATAGACATAATACATATAGTTTAGCCTGGATCTACAATAGATTTTTCAGCCTTAAGCCATAAGAATTGGACGAATCACAATCAATTATTCTTCTCGTATTCGATTGTTGGTCAATTTTTTGCAGCTTAAGCTTTTAAGCTTAAAGCTTAAAATACCTACATATTGTAGATCCGGACTTAAGGATCAACTGGTTGTAAATTATTAATTTAGGCCATGGTCTGATTTATTCTCACAACGCTTAAAGAAATCATTTTAGCCTCATTTGTCAAATATTAAACAAAGACAAATGAATATTGTTAGCATAAATTGGACCACGGCCTTATAAGTATCATCACTATAATACAATGATTTATACAGATTTATGTGCTGTCACTTGTCACTGTAAATTTGAATGAATTTTATAACATAAGTTATGTGTATACAGTAAGTATTATGAACGAAAAGGTAATTATTTAATTTAGCATACATAAATAATAAATTTAGCATACACAAAAGTTGATAAAAAATGTATTAATTGACGAATTTTTCATGAAATGAATGATTAACGGAAAAAAAGTGTTGATTGGTATATATTTTTTATTGATTTTGGTATATTTTTTTATTGATTATGCTAAACTAAATTATTACCAATAAAAACGTTGAAATTGTGTTAAACAGTTACAGCATAAATTATAATTTATGGCCAGCATAATTGATCCTTTAGACTTAATCATATATATATAAATATTGTGTTTTTCTAACTGATGATTAATCACTAAATTAATCATTTTATGATAACTTTAAAAGTTATTATAACAATTCTTTTCTTTTTAAGAGAGTTGATACAGTCATTCTATCCTTCTTAGCAGTCAATGAATTTCTTATAGAATTGTTAAAGAAATTAAAAAATCATTAGCTTACACAGTTATTGCGCAAAATTTGATTTATTGTTTACAAATTATATAATACAAATGTTTCATCCAACTTCTGATCAGTACAATAAAATATAAATAGTTTTAATAATAATTAATACTAATTAATTAATACTAATTAAGGCCATATGGTTCACAAAAAACTTGAGACAGTAAGACGTAAGCAGTAAGGAAATCAACATGTTGGATTGGCTACTGCTTACATTATTCCATTACAATCTGTTTACTGCTTATGTTTTATTACTTAAATTTTTTTGTGTGTCATGGCATTGGCTAGGATAACATTTGTATCATCTGTCTCCTAAAAGAATAGCAGCCAAAAATTAGTTTAATGACTATTGAAAACATTTTTTCTGCTTTACGTCTGTTTCCATCAATTGTTTTCATATTTTAATTCTAATAAATTTTTATGCTTAAAATGCCAGTCGACAAAAACGAGTATTTTCGATCTGTTATTCTTCATTTTTGATTTGATTAAGGCTCCAAAGCTGCCAAAGCCTTTGCCAAACCTCTGCTTGTGCTTGCAAATGTCGCGAACAGCTAAACATTTCTTAAGCTAATTTAAGAGAATCTCCAGATAATGAAAAACCGAGCCAAAAGTTACAGAACTTAGACTTAGATTAAACATATATCATTCAAAAGTTTTTTAATGTAATTTTTTAGTGACATCTCTTATTAGTCGTCAAGATGATGTCTGATCGGAAGGCGGAGTTAGAAAGGAAGAAGGCAAAGCTGCAAGCTATTAGGGAAGAGAAAGAGAGACGCAGGAGGGAGAAAGAACAGAAGGATGTAAGTGATAAAAAAGTTTATAGATACTCAATTTATCTGTACAGAGTATCGATGTAACTTTTTCTCTAGAAAATGAAAATTTTTATGTATGTATGTATATATGTTTCATATACGTATATATGTATGTATGGACATGTACACACATACATATAAAAAATTACTTTTCATATTTCTTGTCTAGAAAAAAGTTATATGATTGATATCCCGAGCTAAAGATGTACGCGGTTAAAAGTGACAGAAATGTAATGGCTAGAGACACTCTAGTTAGAGTCGGCCACCTAAGAACTGGTCTATTTGATCCGATTTTTTTTTAAACGAGCTTTAGTCAAAACGAGATATTAGGTATTGGAAAAACTTTTTTTCATTAACAATGAACTGAAGTCGGATTAGTCAGTAATTTGCAAATGTAATGCATGAAACTAACATGAGCAGAAAAAATCCCGCAAATCTTATAGAAAATGGGTTTCGACCAAATTACTTCTTATATTTTTATAGCTTATGTCAAGCTGATTAAAAGTTTTCACAGGCACAAACATTCAAATGCCTTAGTTTTTACTCTAGGATCTTTGGAAGTAGAGTAGAGAAGATCATCACATTTTATATGGAAAAATAATCAAAATGAATATTTTTTAATATTAGTTATGGACTACTGTCTAATATAGCACAGATATACATATACTGCATACATATGTGTTACTATTGCAGCCAATTAAAAATGTTATGTCATATTTTACTATCTAAATTGTGTTGCAATCTTTTCTTTTAGTCAATTACAGTCAAGAATTATCAAAAATTTTCAGTTCTAATTGACTAATTTGTATGATATGTCTTACGATTACTGCAATAAGTAAACGGAAAGTGTGCTCTTAAACGGTTAAGGAAGACACTGTCGAATCGTTAGAGCATGAACCGCATTCGGGATGTCCATTTGTTAATTAAAGATGAACTATTAAAGATGAATTGCGTGCATGTATACGTTTACACACATGAAAAAGATATGCCAACGTCGCACAAGTATTATTCCAATAATAATCGGTTAGAAAGAGACTTTATTCACTTGGTTTCCGTAAAATATTGAATTTTTATTTAAAAATCCGCACTTTTTCAATACCTAATAGCATATATTATTGAGCATATCTTTATCTCGCATCATTGCAGAACAGAATAAAACATCTTTTTTTCTTTGGCACTATTGCAGAGCGAGATAAAACATCTTTTCTCACTTGTACAATTTTGAAGAAAAATGTCGGATTATTTTTATGGTCAAACTCTGATTAGAAGGTCTCTACTAATGGCAAAATGATTCGCTTATGGATTGTAGGTAGAAGAAGCTACTGTTCGTGCCGCTGGCACGGATAAGGATCAACGCAAAGAGATAGATGCAATGCTGTCTTCTTTGGGTGTAGCGCCAGTGTCAGGTATATATAAGTAATGTGTTCAATTACTAAGATTGGCACTTTTCCCTAACGGTTTCTGTTTATTTACAGATGTGCTCTCTAGTTTGTCTAGTATGAGCTCGCTGACGCCTGAACAGAGTGCTAATGCTACACCAGACGCCAGCTTACAACCATCTAGTATAAATTCTGCTCAGAGGTATTTATTTATATCTTTGCATTTCTTTTAAGATCGATATTTATAATTTGACTTGAATTTTGTGGTATAAAACAGTGTAGGACGAAGAAAAAATCGAGAGCTTACGATTGTCTCCGTGGCGCACACAAACATTCCACCAAAAGAACCGGTTGTTTACAGTAAACAAACGCAAACCATTCAGACTACGCATACATCCCACGACGGTGAGTCAATATTTCTCTTATTTATTTATATATATTGCACATATGTGTTACTTGTGAAATGTTTAAATATTAGAAAAAACATGTAATATTTAATTTACGAAGGTTTTATGTACGTTAAATATAAATGATAGAATTGAAATATAATTAGTTTCCGAAAATTTTTGAATTTTAACTGGTTCGTTACAAGATAAAACATGTTAAATATTATATCTTGTATAATCGTTAACTTTTTCCTGTTATTTTATACTAAATAATTATTAATGTTTATTAATTATTAATTTTCACTTTAACGTAAGTTCGCATTCACACAATGCGTGTCTTAAGGTCACTAAAATATCATTAAGCTACACATATTTCATAGTTTTCACATGAATAAATAATTAGTAAAGTGGGTGGTTTTTAAATAAAAAAGACACAGTATACATCTTTATATATTTTTTATTAAAACATTATGTTATATACTTTGTCTGTGACTACACACGAAATCTTAACAATATTCTTTTTATTTTGTGTATTAATTAAGTAAATTAAGACGTTATTAATCACACAAGTGCATTTTTTGTTTTAATTTTAGAACAACTAATATTAAAATTGAGTTAACCTTCTAAATTGTTTATTATAATTAATTTTAAAGTGGCGAGGAAACTTACATATTCCTAAATATGAATTTAATATTCATTACATCGCAAATTATCATTTTCCTTCGTATTGTTTGTAAAGTATTAACAGTTTTCAACACTTTTACACAATTTTTTGTTACTCAAACGATACTCAACATGAAAGAAATGATATATTATGTTTATGACACAAATATTATTAATCAGCACATATTTAAAAAAATATATATACATTAATAATATTTAAGTATGTTGAAAAATGAATAGTATATTATTATTACGTTATAATTATTATTATAATTGTGAACATGAATAACAGTTTTTATTGTGAGCCTTAGATTATGTGTGTAACAAATATATTAGTACATAACAGGTAGTAAGCGTCTAACAATCAATCTGGGTTTCGTTTAAATTAAGTTTTTTTGGTGGTGGCAATACATTTTCCTACATACATTTTCATTTCCATAACGTACAACCGCAAATTCAGTTAGTTCTTAAACACAAACATTATATGTGTTACTGACGATTATCTTCACCAACATTATATGTGTTACTGATGATTAATCAAAATAAAAATCTTGCAATCTGCTAACAATACAAAGCTGATCACAAATCATTTATGTTAGTGATTAATAAATTTTCATATATTTAATTCCAATACCACCTACTTTACTGTAACGAAAGATAGTGCAACGTTAACTATGAAAAAAATCAGAATTTTGATCGTAAATAATGTTTCTTCTTAAGATTATATATCTGATTTTTTATCATATATATCCAATTTTTTATTTTGAATGGATATAAAAAAAATAGTATTATTAAATATAATACACATACGCGTATATACACATATATATGATAAATTTTTTATGCTGTTATCTAACTGATCTTGCGGTGTGAAAAAATTAAACATACGCGTGTTCCCTTGCCTTGCGATACAATCTGATCGATTCATCCGGTGTTGGACACAAGGACTGTCCACATCGTCCTCTGCATACACCATCTACTCCTCCTGTTCAACAACAACACCAACTCACTCTTGCTCCGCAGGCTACTTTGAGACTGACTGGTGGCGTCCCAGGAAAGGTGGGTCTGCACCAAACTACCTATGTATGTTCTGTCTACTTTTTTACTACCTTTCTATAATTGTCGTAAGACGTTACATTCAGTGTTGTAACATGCCTAGATATAAGTACTTAAGTACTTTAACAGTATCTAAATGCATTACCTAGGTCCTTATAGACAGATACTCAAATCTGAATACTTTTTTATAAGATTAAGTTTAGACATAAATACAACAAAATATTTATCTATACCAATGATATATACATAGATCAAACATCCTATGTTTTTCAGTGATAGGAAATTAAGCCGGAAATTGATACTTTAAATGGCTGTCAGTGACTGTTGAGATTTCATGTTTTATTTTTTATCTGAAAATAGAAAGAAATGCAACGGAATTGCAGGCTCTTAAATTGTATCTTCAAGCTACGGACAGAATATTTGGTCTATGTATACAGAGTATCTTATTTTAATTGTTCCTAAAAAATATCTTGAAAAATACGTAAGATATGAACAAATATTTCAGATGGAAGTGGAACAGTTTTGAAGAGCAAGTTGCTTTTTTTCGAGATGGAGACGTTCAAAAGATATGAAAGTATATATTCACTTTTTAAAATGGAATTGTATAGGTTTTTTTATATAATATAGTTCCTAAAATTATTCTGCATATAAAAGTATTAAGACAGAGATAGCAAAAAATTAATAGTTTACGAGACATTTAATATTTTATGTCAATATTTGTCAAAATAAAGTATAAAATATCTTGTAAATTATATTAGTTTTTGATATCTCTATCTTAATATATATACTTTTATATGCAGAATAATTAGAAGACTCATATTGTATAAAAAAAAATCATACAATTTTATTTCCTAGAAAAAAAGTAACATGTCCAAATTATGTCTCCCTTGAAACCGTACGTTCCATTTTCATCTGAAACATTTTTTTGTATTGTTTAAGATATTTGCCTGGAGTAATTAAAATGGAATATTCTATATATGTCATTGATCTATAATATCGTTGTTTTAAACTTAATTTTAATTCCCAGAAAAAAATCGACTTTCCAATACAATGTTTGAACATTACTGATTTAAAAAAAGCATGACATGATAAGTATCCAAACATTTTTATATAAATTTACTATATAATTTACTATATAAATAGAAATACTATATAAATAGAAATAGATATGAAATAAAATTCGTTTATGCAGTTTTTTTTTTTTTTTTATAAATGAGAAGTATCTAAAAAATAACAAAATGTTTCAGGTACTGCTACATATTGTATCTATACCTAGGTAATTTTTAAAAAATGTATTTATATCTATAACTAGATACTTTTCTCACACAATACCTATATCTATATCTAGAAAAGATACTTCTGAAAAGGTACTTGTTGCAACACTGGTTATATTATAGAGGTAGAGATACACATCGGAAGGTAGAGATACGTCATGTTCCAAGCGAAGGGATATGTAGAGTCTAATCATTGAGGTGCTTTGCGCTTTTTAAACATTGCTCCGCAGATTTTTGATTTTTCGTTCTTCTTTAAATATTTCAAATTATGTGAAGGCAACGAGGAGTCATGAAGATTACACACAAGTCGGTGTGATAACCGATTTTACATTTGAATTGTGCTGCAAGAGTTTTGTATATGGAAATTTACATTTACTGTAAATACTATATAATAAGAATTTTGCATTGCAACTATATTTCATTGTTAGCTCCTTAAAACTTTTACAGTTTTACTTCCACATACAAATGACCGTTTGCTTGCATATGAAAAAAAGGCTTATCACGCTTTAATAGTTTAATGAAATAATTAACTGAAAAAGAGTTAAAATTACACAGCACATTAACTCTAGGCGTCCTATTTGATGAGAAAATATATAAATTACAGTTATATACTGAGATTTTTATGCCATGACTCATGCGTGCTGGTAGAGAATTGGTATTTATGCTCACATAGAATATTTGAAATTTGAATGAATTAAATCAAAGTAAGTAGAAAAGCCTATAAGATCTAATACAAAACAAACATATTCTACAAATATTTATTACATAAAAATGAAATATAAACGTTTTAACTTTCTATTAAATTCTTTTAATATATTTATATAATTCAAAATTAATGATGCACTAACATAATGACATATAAATAGAAAACAGAAACGTTCTTTGAATAAGACATGTCAAATTAAAATAATTATGTTTCATATCCGTAATAATAAACATTTGATTTTCTTTTTTTGATTACGTTTATGTGGAAACTATTAATCGCGTATAGTAACATCCGTAATTATAACTCTTGAAATGTGTACTTTTTTATGTGAAGCTGTTTTAATTTATTCTACTGATGTAATGAAAGCAATTATGAATAATTTTTTGATTATTTTATAAGCTTATAGCATTCAAGGTTGGCAATAAAAGCGTAATAATCATTCCTTGCGTTTACACGATCTTTTAAAATAGATTTTGTAAATCTACATCTCTTTGCTATCAGATTTATAACATTAGTACTTATATTAGTAGTTATAACTACTGTTGTTATTAAATCCATCGTGTAGATGTAGTCTTTATAATAATTATGTATTGTTTACACATGTTATTGTTATTAATTATTATAAGAGAATAATTAATAGAATAATTAAGTTGAAATAGATTTTTAATAGCTGTACAATCTCAAAATCTTATATTTTGAGATTGTTCAGCTATTAAAAATCTATTTCAACTTAAAAATTTCATGTAAATTTATGATTTTTATAATTTTATATTTTATTGTTGAGTCAAAAACGTTTAATTTTATATACAGTAAATCGTAAAATTTGATGAATTCTTATCGGATGAATTATGTGTGAAACGCTTTCACCCAAACAATTTATGAGATAGCCAAGTACGTCTTATTGTAATATTATAGATATGAAGCGTGATTACCATTTTTAATTTGACGAATCCTATCAAATATATTTTATCTAAAAAATATTATTTTTGAATTTTATTTTTCATTTGTATGTCATTATCTTACATATTGATTATTTTAGAATTATATAAATATATAGGGTGTCCCAGAAAGAATGTACGTCCTTTCTCTGACATTCTGCGGAACATTCTAAGACGAAAAATCTTATACAAATACATCGATTATAAATTTTTCAGATTATTAATCACACACATCAAAGTGACATTTGTCAATTATAGCATTTGAAATTCGCGCGCTTATGCATGGCACATTGTGTGCATGGTTGTGAAGATGTCCTTGTATATTGATCGCTTTTAAATACTGACATAATTGATGCGCTTATTGCAAAAATGCCTAACTGCCGAAATTCAGTTTCATATTTTAAAGCATTAATGATTCTATATGTTAACAATGCTTTAAAATAAAACTATTGTAACTACAGCTACAATTAGGAAAAAATATATTTCATTTTTAAGGAAATAGATCGACATTTTTGTATAAGACTTTTCATTTTAAAATGTTTCACAAAATCATCCTGTACTGAAAAGGATTTTAATCGAAAGTTGAAACGTTTATACTTCATTTTTATGTAATAAAGATTTGTAACACAAGTTTACCTTGTGTTGGTTCTTACAGACTTTTCTTATTTCTTTGACAGAATGTTTCTTCAAGTATATTTTTAGATATAAAAAGCCATTTAATGAGGATATACAGAGTGTCACAAAAAGATCGGGATGTCGAATTATTTCGAAAACATGACGTTTTTGGAAAAAAATTTTCATAAATCAAATCGCCCATTGTGTGATGATATTAGTTTGACTTTGGATCTTGCGAATATCATATTTGACCTTGATGTGACATTCTCAAAATCATTCAAAAGGAATTAATATCTATCATGATGAATAATTTAACATCCTACAACTTCTGTATGAACAATTTTGCGAAATATTATCTTTTCAAGATAATTCAATGTTCCGATTTTTTTATGACACTCTGCATATGTAAGATATGAAAATAGCTTCTTTTATGATACTTTTTAACGCTCTTGGTAAAGTGTTAATTGTCTAGATATTTGTATTTTAATAACGATAAAGAAATGTCCGCTTTTAAAATTTTGCTTTATTGTTCCCATATATTAACAAGAACAATGAAATAGCAATATTTATTTTGAGAGAGACTTAGAGGGTGGGCATAAGTGTGACAAGGGATGTAAGTGAGATATTGCAGTGCATTCGTTAGAGAGCATCTATTGTTAAGAATAATTTTTAAAAGAAACTAAATTTTCTCGCAATATTGGATCAATGTTTAACGAACATTATAGTCGCTGGTAAACGAAAGTGTTGAACATGGAAGATAAAACGTTACCCTAAAAATGATAAATATTCCGAATATGTACGTTTCCTCTTTACGTAGGAATCGAAGCACCACATATAAAAATTTACAAAATTATATTCACCTAATTACATTCAGCGTAATATTTTTTATTTTAAAATGAGGTATTTGAAAATCACTTCTATACAACGCTATGATTTTATTATCTATTTCTTTGGAAAATTTTCATAAATAAATTATATATTACTAAAAAATTTATGTTATCTCTGTAGGGTATATAATTGAATATTTCTTAAACCGCCAAACATATTACGAAATGTTTTATTTTTTCGTACAATTTTAAAGTTAATTGTAGACTTTTTTTATTTTGAATTAATGAGTCTGAATGTAGAGAGGTGTTATATTAGTGTAATGCATTCTTATGATAACGTAACTAAGTACAATTTTTTTCCCTCCCCTTCTCAGCTCATGCATTCGACTATTACGGTAAGTTATGATTTCTCTTGGTTCTGAAAACCATTTTTAGGTTCAGAGTTAGGTTTAGCTTGTATTCAATTTATATTTCTTGAAGCGATCGTTCTAAAGAAAAGGTACTATGCGAGAATTAAGTACTACAATTCTTGGCATAACAGAATATTCAGATTAAATTTCAAATATTATTTTAGATTATTTATATCAAAGCGAATGTGATAAAATAAGAAACTATTACTAAATTTATAATTTATTCGTCAAAAATGTAGCGCGTATTAGTCTATCAGTACGTTTCATTACATGAAATTAATTGATATTTGCAACATACTAGATAGTGTTTTTACTTGCCTTTATTCGAAATAGATACAGCCGGTACTAGAAAACGGATGAAGAATATTTCAGAATTTAATGTTTTCCATAGGAAATATCAGCAAGAGGAATACAAAAATAACTCTCCACCCGGAGCCTAATCGGTTTACTTTATGGATATGCTTTTATACTTTTTCCGATTCTCTTCTTCGTTAAGTCTGTCTATTTTTTTGGATGCATTTATTCTTATTTATCGTATCTATTATTTTTCAAATATTTATCTGACATCCCGACTCTATACAGCAAAAAATCTGCTATTAGGTCCACTACACAAATCTATCCGCATATATCTGACTCTTGGGAAGCATGCATAAGTTTCAAAGATGGTTGTCTTTTATATTTCTGATTCTTCAAACACGATTTTAGCAATATTTTCAAATTCTGTTTCTTACGATGTGTATTACTAATTTTACACAGTAGACATATTGCAAAAAGATATTCTTATATTGATATTATTGAAAGAATGTGAGGGTAAAAAATAGAAGTAAATTGAATTAGTGTTTAATGAAAATGAATATAAAACTCTGATTACTATTAATATTCTTGACGTTTCATCATGGCAAATCAAGAATATTGGAATTTTTCGAGAGAAATATCCATTGGCAAATCTTGTCACAACTTAACGCACCTTCCAGAGTTCTCAGCGCAATGTTCGTTACTTGAAATCTTTTTGGGAATGCTAACGCATCATAAATGCTTACTAACATGAAAGCAATTTTTATAGAGCTAAAGTGTTGTGGGATATTAACTGAATTCAAGAAGAAAACGTTATTATACACGTTATTCCCGGTGAACTCACACTTTGATTCTATTTTAAATTATTACTTCCGATATATGTATATGCAACATCTTAATATATTATACAAAGATATATCTTTTGAACTTTTAGTGACGCAGGAACACTTTTTTTTATTATATAATGTTCCTCAGTCACTATTGGTATTGCTTCTTAACAGCACGTGGGTGGGATAGCGATAAAGTCGGTAAATTAACAAAGTTAAAATGATAATACTACTATATATAGGACTATTTCTAACTTTTGCTTAAAATTTTACACTATTACCTTTATTAGTCTACAATAAATGCTTGTTTTGTAATTGAGAAAAAGTACTTCCGGCGATTTTTAATATAGAATTTTGTAAATTGAATTTGCATAAAATTTCGTCTTTGGAAATTTCGTGTTGCGGAAATGTTTCGGTAATGAGTGCATGTTAAGAACAAGAATTTTCGAATAAAATGTTTAAAAAAAGTAGAAAACGCGTTGAAGGAGGAAAACTTTCACTTCAACATGAGCAACACGTCAAAGAGATAAAGGATTAGTGATCGACAATTAACAATTCGAAATATAATTGAACATATTGGTATCATTTGATTCATGCCACTTAATTTTGAAAAACAATTTGGACATAAGACATTTGGACAATTTGGACGCGTCGCTTTTCGCATTGTTCCAAAAACGCTGGATTTTTTCGGAAGGAACTCCATTTGCCTAGATTGATTGCCTAGATTGATATGTATTATTGCTTACAGCTCGATTGCCTATATTCATTTTTGCGCACAAATAAAAATTTCAGAAATGAAGTTTTGTTGAAGTAGACATTTGCCTACATGTATTATTGCTTATAGTTCAATTGCCTATTTTCTGCTTTAAAAATATAAATTCGCTGTTTTAAAACACAAATTCTTAGCTCTAATAACACAAACTATTTTTTTATATAATTAAGTATATTTGCATAGGCAATCGATCTATAAGCAATAATACACTGAAAAAAATTGTAATTTTACAATGGAAATTACATGTTTATGATCGGAAAATTACTTAAATATGATTGGAAATTTACTAGAAATTATAAATTTTCAATCATAGTTTAAGTAATTTTCTGGCCATGAACATGTAAAAATTACATGAATTTTTTTCAGTAATGTGTATGCAAACCTTTGTTATTTACCTTTGTTTCTTCATTTTATATTTGTGCGCAAAAGTGCATGTAGGTAATTGAGGCAATAATACATGTATAGGCAATCAATTTATAGGCAAAAGGAGTTTTCTCCAAGAATTTTTCTTGTTCGTGATTTTATAGCCAAAAATTCAACCAATATAATTTCGAATATTCATCTGATACGGTACCGTGTGATTTTTTCCTATTCTCTCGGCTGAAATTACTGCTTCGTGGACACTGTTTTGAATCGATAGACACGATAAAAAAGAATTCGTCACGCATTGAAGGTATATCTAAAATCGATCAAAAAAAGTGCTTCGAGCATTGGAAAAAACGTTAGCATAAATGTATTGCAATGAGAGAGAATTATTTTGAAAGGGATGAAATTGGATGAATAAATTCATAGTTTGCATTTTATTGATCCCGGTACTTTTTAATCACAGTAGTACAGGAGATGGACAAAATAACGTGAAACATCTAGGAAACATATTACTCATTTTGTTAATAAAAGATTAGCTCATTATTTGCTATTAATAAAAATTGTTATCCTTGTTAATGGAATAGTTTTTATTATTAAGAATGTGAATTTATTATATTATTCACTTTATGATTAGTTAAAGAAGATTAATGATCTCGAAACGTATATGCGTTGTTCTGATTTGTTGATCTTATATTATTAGTATAATTATAAAATAATAATTTAATTTAAAAAAAACTTGATTTGGCTTGATTATTGATTACTATTTATATTGTTGTTTACATAATATGAGCGATTTTACACTTTGATCATATTACAATATTTTGTCTGTTCTCTGTATGTGTCTGAATATATCGCAGCATAGCCGTACAGCATTCTCAAAATGTGTACGCACTTTAGTTTTTCCTGTGAATGTAGATTTTTTTCACTAGTCAACATTTAAAAAATAACGATAAATATCTCGTGTCTTAATCGAAAAAACTTGAAAAAACGAGCGATTTTTATTTTAACAGTCGGAGATGTCAGTATGTTGTATTAAATCGTTATTTCAATTTCATGATCCCTTACTTGTCTTCATTTTGAAAATTTTTTTCTGAAATTTACTGATAATGAGTTTTCGCGTCAAATTTATTTTCCGAGAAATATCCTACCTCATTATATTCCATATCAATTAACGCGAAAAAAAGAATGAGTGTCTGAATTAATATACAGTGCGTTTGATTTAAGTGTATATTTCTTTTAAATAAAAACATTTTTTTAAATAAAAGTTTTGCTTGAAAAGCTCTATATCGTTTAAACTAATATTCTAATTTTTTATTACTATTTTAAATATTTTTAATATTTTTTTAAATAATAGTTTTAACTTTTAAATAGTATTATTAGAATAGTATATCTATTTTCCCAGAAAAATATATTAATTTAATAATAGGCCAAAATCGAATGTATATGATGTATTACAATACAGTTTACACTATAATACAGTAAAAAATTATAATAATTATATATCATAAGTGGAACAAGTTTTGACTTTACTCACAGTTTCAGTCTCTATTATCAAAGAATTATATGTATATGCTTATATATATAATAAATACATTTATTATTATTAATTTAACAATCAAATGATAAAAAAATAGTCGTAAATGTTGAAATCAAATATTAGATTTGATTAGAAAATCAAAGATCAATAAAAAATTTTTAATTCTTCCTTTTATCTATGATTTTGATCTCTTCTTCTCTTTTATTGTCTCTTTTAATCGTAAATGATTATCAAAAAATTCTCTTTAATCAATAATCAATCGAACGAATCAATATCTAAATCAATATGATATTGATTCAGAAAAATATAATAAGTAAAATTACTGGTCAATGCAATAAAATTAATAAATAATAATGAAGCTCTGTAAGTATAATAATATAGACAAAAGAAGGACAGAAGAGCCAATATTTTTAGTAACAAAAGAACTTTAATTTAAATCATTAATTAAAATTCATATAATAATAACAAAGGACAAAGACATACGTTTTGACTCCGTTCGAGTCATTCTCAATGTCGAAAGAAAGTAATACTTTTGTCAATTATTATTTTCTTACTACAATTTCCGATATAATTGACTCGCGGTGTATTACACAAAATGAAGAATATTTTGAAAACGATGAAGTATTTTAGAATTATAAATTCTATTGGAACTTACGAATTAATAATGTCTATTTAAAAATACACACACACACACACACACACACACACACACACACACACACATCCAGGGTGTTTCCTAATTATTGATACAATGCTTATGTGCAGATGGAGCGGACTAAAGTGAGTTGAAAGTCTTGTACTATTTCACAATTATTTTAGAATATTACGAATTTTGTAATATTATATATTTGTTTTATAGCGATGCTGAATAAGTTACCGCAATATTGAGAATGATTCGAGCGGAATCGAAATGTATGTTTTTGTTCTTTATTATTATTATATGAATTTTAAGATATGAATTTTATGATCTAAATTAAAGTTCTTTTGTTATTAAAAATATTGATTCTTCTATCTTTCTTTTGCCTATATTACAATAAAATTATTTATATTTTAGCTTATTATTAAATTATATTCTTTTGGATATTAATAGAGCGAACTAGTTTTTTTATACTTTATATTTATCTTATTATAGTTTTGTAAGATATTTTATTATAAGCTAGATCAAGCATAACAGGTGCAATAAAATCCAATTTTCGATAATGATTCGTGAGATATCTTGAGAATATGAGCGGTAAGATAAAATATTTCCAATAAAAAAATATTTATTAAAAAAATAAAAAACTTATTTAAGTCGTTATAGATCTTAAATAACGTAAATTATTTGAAAAATTTTATATATTTTTATTATTTATAAAAATAACTGAATGTTTTCATTTAAATCAAACGCTATATATATATATGAAAAATAAGAACGAAATGAAATCTTTCATTCATCATTTAAGCGAAGATATTAAAACTTTTTTTACATTTAAAAAAAATAGGAAGCTTCTTATTAAACTCTTTAGAGTGAATTTTGAAAGACATAAGACTCAAATAATTTTTGGCTTTTGTATACATATATCATTAGTCTCGATCTACAATGGGTTTAGTAAATGTAAGAAATTGATCAATTATTGTCGATTATTTTCCTCACATTTGACTGTGATTAATTAATTTTCTATGGCGTACTACATCTATTGTAAATTCTATTGGAACTTACGAATTAATAATGCCTATTTAAAAATACACACACACACACACACACACACACACACACACACACACACACATCCAGGGTGTTTTCTAATTATTGATACAATGCTTATGTGCAGATGGAGCGGACTAAAGTGAGTTGAAAGTCTTGTACTATTTCGCAATTTTTTAATTAGTTAACGAGAAATTACTACTAGAGTTTTTTACTATTACGTTGGTTTGTATCGACCTAAAATGGATTGCTCTGCTATGGTTGGTGTTACATGCTCTACCATAGTAGAGCATACATCATCCGATTCAGATTGGTACAAACTTGTTACAGTCGAAAACACTAAAAATTATCAAATATACTTGGTCTATCAAATCTAAGTTCGCAATGAGATATAATCGTCTAGCAGTTATACTACGTTTACATGGCTCGAAGGCTTTACGCCGAAGTTACTAATGTTAAACGCCGTATAACGCTACTTTATGATAAAATTCATCATGTAATCTTATTAAACCTTATCTTGAAGACAACTTACCCTTCGGGATTGCTCAATATGCCTCATGGGTCTATTGAGCCACTTTTCTTTTCAATAAAATTTTTTTCTTATTTATAAAATATATTAAGGATTTATTTAATTATTATATGAGTCAGAAGTACATGCAATGTTTTAAAGCAATTTTCATTATTCTATCGTAATTATATGAAGATTTATAATAATTTGAATAAAAAATATCATAACTAATCCTGCTATATATCGGTTTTAATAATTATTGACATTTGAATTTGTTAAACATCGAAAATGATCCAATAGAATGAAAATGTTATTATATTGTTTAGCAATAATTAATTTTTTTAGCAATAATTTATTAATTTAATACTAACACTTAATTCTGATTCATTAGTCCTTTTTTTTTATTAATTTTTAATTTTTATTCTATAATTAACTACTTTAATTTTACGTACAATTTTTCTTATCCTGTTAAAAGATTTCATTTTGATAAGCAAGACGGGGGACAATCATAGCTTAGAATAGTCCAGCACAACGCATCGCTCATATGTAGCTTTTGCTGTTTATAATAAATAAACTCCTGCGCCTAGTAACTATGACTGTTGGACGATTATACCTCGCCTCGCGTTTAGATTTTACAGTAGGCTGGGTTCATTAGAGAGCCTTTCGGAGGGTGACAAATTATTCCTCCTCTAATTGGATACGGTCATTAAAGTTCTATAAGTATGGAAGAAATTGGAGAAAACTGATCACGTGTGCTCTGATTGGAAGTCACTGAAGCTCCATTAATATGACCACGTTACCTATTCTCTTCCTGAGAAGTTCTCTAATTTATTCAGTGATTTTTAGTAATTAATTTCTCATTAATTATATTGCGAAAATTGTAAAATGGTGCAGGACTTCAATTTTATACGATCTATCTCCATGCATTGTGTCAATAATTAGGTAGCATCTTATATATGTATATCTATATATACACAAAATGCATTTAATGAATGTCTCAACATTTTATCTTAGAAAATGAATATTTCACTTTCTCTTACACGTAGATTTCACTCTCTCTAATGTTATAATCGATAATTCATCTCCCATAGTAAAACGTTGAGACATTCATTAAAATTCATTCGGTGTATGTGC